CCTTCCTTCCTTCCTTCCTTCCTTCCTTCCTTCCTTCCTTCCTTCCTTCCTTCCTTCCTTCCTCCCTCCCTCCCTCTTGGGTTTCCCTTTTCTTTTCCCTTTTAACAGTAGCTTTCCCTGCGGTATCTTTCCTCTCTTTTCACCACGTCTTATTTTCTATATTTTGTCAGATACAAAAGGAAGGCAAATCTATGTCCAGTTCTTTCCCCCCTTCAAATAATATTAGCTCGAATTTTAGAAAATTATGAACTTACCTTTTGACGCCCATCCTTCTATGGATTGGGAGGAGGAGGAGGATGAAGAGGAGGAGGAGGAGGAGGCGAAGGAGGAGGAAGGGGGGGAGATAGAATTGCGTTTGCTTTTATATGTAAGCTGACAAATATTGTCCCAACCTGATAGCCGTCCATTGCGACTTCTGAGAGCTTTTTCCTTTGCCGCGTCCTTTTGTACAGAAAATGGAGTAACTTCCCTCTTTGAAAAATGACCAAAACCTCCATCCGGTACCGAGTCTCCATTTCCCCCTCCATCATTAGACAGAGAACCCGAGTCAGTACAGAGAGAATTGGGAAAGGAAGGGTAGGAGGGGATCAATAATATTAGCAATCTAAGCTTAGTCCCAGATATGTGCGTGCATGTTTGCGAGTGTGTGTGTATGAGGGAGAGAGAGAGACTGTGTGTGTGTGTGTGTTTGTGCCCGCGCTTCCCCTGCTCCTCCTCTATTTTTAGCCCTATTGAGCTTATACATGAAAGTAAAAAAAAAAAAAATGTTAAAAGAGACGACAGTCCTACAGAGGACAGTGATCCGACCCAAGGTACAGCGGCCAAAAGAATGGTAGAATAACCACATGGGAAATCATAAAAAGTTCATGTTCACGGTTAGCAGTCCACATGACCAGCTCTGGCCAATCGCAGAACCCAGCCACTCATAAAGTTCTATCACAAAGTTGTAAATTTTCATAAAACAACAAGGAATTTATTGCATTTCTTCATGACTGCTTTAACAGCAGTCTTTTTCTCAGCCGCCATCTTTTCTTTAAAAAAAGAGGGAGAGTGGGAGAGAGAAGAATATGCGAAGATTGGGGGGCCCTCCACATCCCGGCGGGGGGCCTTAAACGACCCCTCCTTCACTAAAGGTTAAAAGAGCCTCCTCTGCGAAGCCACCTCTCAGCACAAGCCCTCCCGAGCCTTCGGTCCTTCCTTCGCTATAAGGGTCCGCGACTGTATCCGTCGTACCTGTAGTCCGGGATTGCGGGGCGGGGGAGGGAGGAATGGAGGCAGCGGCTCTAAAATTATGTTTTGTTTCCTTTAAGGCAAAAGTGGTACTCCTTAGCTTAAGCGGACTGCTGTGTTGGGGGTATCTTCTCTCCCGCTCGGAGATTTCCCTTCCGGAAATTCGCCGCGAAATTAAAACGTTAACTGCCCTGGTTCCAAGGCATCGAATATATAATAAAGGGTCGTATTTCTGCATATGCAGCGGAGGCCGACATATAGATGTTATTGTATGTAT